CATTGCCCACATCTTTCCAGGTTGATAACGACCCGTCCACCACCACTCTCTGGGTGAGACCCCTAAGCCAGTTTGCCACCCATCTGACTGTGTAATAATCTACATCACAGCCTGTCAGTTTATTTATGAGAACAGAATGAGACACCATATCGAAGGTTTTCTTAAAGTCTAGGTAGATGACATCTACCTCGAATCCTGCATCTAAGCATTTTGTGGCCTGGTCATAAAAAGAAACAAGGTTAGTCAGGCAAGATCTACCTGCAGTGAATCTGTGCTGATTTCCTTTCAGCATTATTTTCCCTGCTGGGCTCCCACAAATGTGTTCCTTAATGATTTTTTCCAGAGTTTTCCCAAGGATAGAGGTGAGACTACTTGGCCTATAGTCTGCCAGTTCCTCCCTCCTCCCCTTCTTGAAAATAGGGACCACACTGGCCCTTTTCCAGTTCCCTGGGACCTGACTGGAGCACCATGAGTGCTTGAACAGCCGTGCCAGCAGCTCTACTATGATACTGGGCAATTCCGTCAGCACCCTTGGATGAAGTTCATCCGGGCCTGCTGATTTGAACACATCCACCCTCTCTAAGTGTCCCTTCACTAAGTCTGAGGCTAACAGTTGGTGGGCTGGTGTCCCTCCTGTGTTTATCTATGATCCAATTGGGAGACTTGTCTTGGTCTGTGTCTAGGAATACAGATGCAAAGAACTCATTGAAGAGCTCGGCTTTGTCCCCCGTCTCTGTCACCAATTGCTCTGGTTTGTCCTGTAGGGGTCCTACACTGCACCTTTCTTTTGCTCCCTATATACCTAAAGAAAGACTTCTTGTTGTCCTGAATTTTTGTTGCTAGCCTGACTTGTAATCCTGCTTTGGCCTTCCCATCTGCTCTCCTTCTAAAGCAGAGGGGGCAAAATGCAGCCCGTGGGCCAGATGTGGCCCACCAGGCCTTTCTATCCAAACCATGGGGTGCCTAAAAATTTTAGAAAATTAATATTTATCTGCCCCTGGCTGCCTGTCATGTAGCCCTCAATGGCTTGCCAAAACTCAGTGAGCAGCCCTCCACCCAAAATAATTGCCTGCCCCTGCTCTAAAGCGTCCACTACTGCCACTGCTGGAGACAAGCTAGTTGGCTAGGTGGATGATTGATCTGACCCATTCTGCCTGTTGCTCTGACCCATTCTGCCTGTTCTTATATTTAGCTGTTCATGTCTGTATATCTACTGGCAAATTTGCCCCTTTTATAACACTTACAAGCTGAGGGAAGAATTATGTTTTCTCTTGGATCTAAGTCACAACAGTAGAAAAAACCTCACCGATGTTCATACCTTGAGTTCTAGGCCAGGTCATTGCAGCTAATAGGAGAAATCTGAACACTTGAGCAGCATGAAATTGTTTCTTTAGATTGGCTCCAGGGAAGAATAATCCCCCAAGCACTTGCCTGTTTGCATCTTTCTCTCAAGAAGCAAGGACGCAAATGGGGGAAGGAGGGGTGGAAGGGAGTGATTTGTTGGAGAGTTGCTATTACCAAATGGCCCCCTGTCTGGAGCTGATGAATACTGGCACCACAGGGTCTGAGTGACCTGATAATGTGCTGTGGCTAAGTCCAGATCCCAAACAGTGTGTTTAGGGAAGCAGAGCAGAGAGGGGGCCTGAAGTTTATCATTTATGAATAGCAAGGGGGTCTGCCACATATCTAAACAGATAGTTATCGCTCTGATGTTTGCATATAAATAGTGACAGGAGAGATTAGGAGGAGCTGCTGAGGAGAGGGGGATGAAAATGCAGACTGCAGACAGGCTTCCATAGCCATAAACCTCATTATGGCAGGGTTCATTTTCAGTCTTGATGAACTGAGATGGAGAGAAGAGATTTGACAAGTCTTCAAATACCCAAAAGGCGATTATAAAGTGGATGGAGATAGACTTTTATATGTGGCTGTAGGGGACAGGACTATGAACAATGGCCCCAAACTGCAGCAGAAGGAATTTAGGTTGGGAAGAACTTTCTGGCTATGAAGATGGTCCAGCATTGGGACAGGATACCTGGAGAAATCATGGACTGTCTCCATCCCTAGAAATTTCAAGAGCAGGTTGGGCAGACACTTGGCTGGCATGGTTTAGTTAGGGATGAACCTGCTTTGAACAGAGGGCTAGACTAGAAGACTTTATGAGGTCTCTTCCAACCCTACTTTTCTATGAACTGAGGCTTTTAACAAATGCCTCCTATGCCAATGATTCATGGTGAATCCCTTATCCTTAGAAAAAAATTAAAGTCAAGGGAATATTGGGGTGTTCAGGTTGCCGTTCACTGGATTTGACCTGCATCCCAGCCTCCCCCTCAGCCAGCATCTTTTTCAGTGTGGAGCAGAACTTCTGAAACAGCTCTTCTCACCTTTGCAAACCTAACAGCCTGACAAGTTTAGGCTCATTTCCGCTCTGCATGTCCCAGGAGTAAGGAATGAATTCTAGACATGTCAAACCTTATTAGGAATTATCCACAGTCCAATCACTGCTGTGACTGCACTATAGACTAGCTTTAAAAGTGCCTATCCAAGATCTAAACTGCTGCTGGTGGAGTCACTCTTGGTCTCTGAACTGGCATGTCCACAATCTGCTCCTGACCAGCAGCCCAACAGCAAATATAGCTCCCTCTCAATGGAAAGATGACCATTCATTGTTGTCTAGAGTTGAACTTTAATTTCACTCTCGTAGGGAAATCAGCTGTAGAAATGGGGACTGAAGGAGAGTGGGCAGGGCCAGGGTAGCACTGGGAGGCAAGTTACAGCTTCAAAAAATCCACCCTGCCTGCAATACCATTCCTAGTCCAAAGTACTGTATGACATTCCCTAATCTTCAATGGCAGGTAGCTAGATTAGCATTATCATCCTCCCTTCACTGACTTGGGAAACTGAGGCAAATTGTTCAGAGGCAGTTGTGCTGTCAGACTCCAGGCTGACATGCCTCTGTGTACAAGGTGTGTGCACTCATTTGTGCTTGTGTGTATTCACCTTTCTAGGGAATGCGACAGCAGCTCATTAACTATCCTGACAAATGGCTTCTGTCGCTGTCTATCTCAGTTTCCCACATCTCTAAAATGTTTGTGCGCGCTACTTTGGGAAGTACAGTCATGCCCCATTGAGCACATGAATGGGCAAGTATTAGAGATGTAAAGAAACACCTAGGATTTTCCATCTCTGCAACTCACTTAATTAAGGGATCTGTGCCTGGAAAGCAGAAAATGCGCATTTCTTGTTACAAAAGGTGAAATTTCTGAAAACCATTAGATACACAGTAGGATAAAAATGTGCAACTTTCCCACACGTGGTTCTGTCAATGTATCTTGCTCCTCATCTATAACACCCCCTGCTATTCCAGGCATAAACCTTCTGACACATTTCTGCTGATGCACCTCAAACCTGAGCTGTAGCATTCACAGCTGTGCTACATTTGCCTCCCCTGAATATTTCACTGACACCGTTCTGAACTGCAGTGTCCTTTGCCATTCCCACCCTTTGGCATCCATTCAGCCCCGCAAATAGACCTCTGTCCTGACCAACAGCAACCAGTGCTATTCCCAGTTCTGAAAACACTTGTAAGTCCACATAGCCAAATGGAGTGTGAAGATTAATCACAGGCAAGAAACCTGGGATCTATTCCCAGTTGTGTCACTGACTCGCTGGGTACCTTTGGCCAAGTCACCCCAGGTCTCTGTGGCTCAGTGCCACTATCTGTAAAATGGAGATAATGATACCCATCTGATGCACCATATTGGTAACAAGCATTTATTACTGTGAACATCTAAGAGGTGACCATCAAGCCCAGCGTGCTGTTTGTTCTGGAAGCCCTGCCTGGAAAGGGAGCAAGTGCACAGGACAGTTCTCCTAGAGAACTCGAATATTGGATTTGTGTGGCTGGCTCTTACCCTCAGGCACTTCTCACTCAGTTTCCGTTGGATTCAAAGGGCGGTGGGCATGAATGGATAAGAGAAGAGCCTGTTTGCTGAGAAACCGTTTCTCCATTTTGAATAGTTCGGTCCAACTTTCCTGACAAGGCTGAGGCTCAACCTGTCCTCTGCCTCCTGTGAACAGCGCTAGAGATGCCGCTTTGCAATCTGGACTTCTGCTTACCCTCTACAAACAGGTGGATGCAATACAACATCTGTGGGAAGCAACTCACAGTGGACTGCTACTTAAGATTGATGTACTCCATGCCAAGGAAGGATGGATGAGCCTGCGCTGCCTTACTTGCCAGTGGTTAACTCAGACACTGCAGGAAGGGGCAAAGGTGGAGGGAAGGAAAACCCAGTGTTTCTTTCCCCGCCTCCAAGTAGAGCCTCTGAGGGGCTGCATTTTGCAGAAAAGTCATGGCTTTGATTTTCCTTCCTCCGTGAGGCTGTTGTGGTGGCATTACTGGCCATGCCAGACTAGTCAAGGGAGGGGCAGGAGTTCCCAGTGAGATTATGGAAAGTAGCAGGATGCCTTGGCTTCAGACAAGGGCAAGGCAAGTGATACAACTTTCCCAGTACTTCTCAACACCTCCAGCTCCCAGGGGAAATCAAATGTCCCGTTATGGATACCCTATGTGACCATGTCCCCTTCCCCTCTCTGCAGATCAAGAAACCCTGGTTCTTCTGGTACCTCTGTGTTCGAGAGCTGGAACCAAGGCTGCTTCCCATATGTGAAGATCTCCCAGAGGATCACCCCAAAGCTCCAGACGTCGCTCTCTGTTGTAAACTTCCGGTACATGATGCTCTCAGGAGGCATCCAGCGGATGGGCAGCATGGTGTGTCCTCCAACCTGAGGGTGGGGAGAAAAGCATAGGCAATCTGTGTTATCAGAGACCTGAGAAAAAGGCACCGGAAAGAATCAGTGCAGAAGCAGAAGTCTTCTCTACTGCAGGCTATCTCAGTATACAGATACCTAGAGAGTTTACACTCTCACCCACCAAAGTTAATTGATTAATAGAATAGACAGGAAAATACGAAACAAATGCCCAGGTACAACAGTTTCCTCTCGTCCCAAAAATGACTTACACAGTGACGTCGCAAAATGCCTCAAATATGCTCAAACACCAAAGGACTGAAGAACCAAGATAAAAAGACAGGAAAGGCTGAGGGCAGAGCGAAGCACTAGCTTTTTATTCTCACTAGGTCTGGACAAGACAGCACACATGGCATAGCCAGTTTTAGTACCGAAATGCACAGAAATACCCTATCTTAGTATGACTTTACTGCTGCTTCTGGGAACCTCAAGCTAGACTCTGTGCACCTACTTCACTAACCACAGAAAAGAGCTCAATCCTGTAAAACCTCACTGTGAGATGGTTTGAGTACATCACCCACTGCCGGTTCAAAACCATAGTCTGTGGATGAAAAGTTAGCCCTTGCAGATTCAAATAACAGTGAAGGCCCAGTGGCCCAGAACCAAGTAGGAATATATGAAACATTTGGAAAATAACTGGTGTAAGACTCCTTCCCTCTGGGGAAGGCTGAATGAAGGAAGCCTGTTCCTGGGCAGTATCTCTCCATCTCTAATATGCTTCAGTCAAACAGATGGATAGATACGTGTAAGCAGCCGCAGCTTGAAAGCAGAAGGAATTACCTTCTATTCACTAGAGTTTTGTACAACCAAAGTCCCTGAATAGTACAAGCCTCTCTCTGTTCTGTCCTTTTAGACAGGAATCGCCATCTGTATGAGAATAACTAATTGACAGACATTTTGAACAGCAGGTGTTGAATGCAACATGGCTGCAAGGGTCTGGCATTCATATCTGTGGAAGGCAGAGCATCCTACGTTGTAGTGTTGCTCACAGAGATCTCTTTTTCAGAAGCCACTTGGGAAGCTTTGCTCATTTGACTACAGACACTCACGAGCATGAGTAGTTTAACTCCATGGTATTGCCGACAGCAAACGCAGACAGGAATGTGTCTGGGCGGTGGGGTGAAGCTGTGGCAGAGAGAGATCTGATTCTTGGGACAGAGACTGTGGTGCCTCGTCTGGGATTTTATCCTGTGCCCCTGGAGCAGGATCAAGGAAACACCCTGCCTCTGTCACTAGTCCTATGAACCGCCATAGGAGGAAACCATGCAATGGAAACCACCATGGAAGTCGCCTCACGTCAACTGCTGCACAGCCATGGTATTTAAAACAAATCATTTTAGTTTCACAGCAGTCTGCCTTCCCCCAGTGCTCGCACTCTCTCCCGCCCCTGTCCCACATCATTAGATGACTGCAAAGGTGGGGAAGGCTCCATTAGGAAAGATAATGGGAAAGGCTTGGAGAAACCCAAGTGAGTGCTGAAATGGGTAACAACACAGAGAGGTCTTGGCCATTAAATGCTAGTTCCAAACTTCCCCAGTTGGACAGGACTGAGGTCCAGGCTCCCAGAGAGATACTCAAACCTCTGTAGTTTGGCCCAATCTTGAATTCTTATCACAGCCTAATTTTACGAACAGCAGATTCTTCCACGTCTCCAAAACCTCTTTCATTACTAAGCGCAGAACCATGCAGACGTGCAAGGCATGAGGATAAAGAGCTCATTGTAATACCTTCCCCCCTCCCCAGCTCCCCCATGTTCAGTCCAGATATATTTTGGCTGACATGTTCTCAGTGCACGGCCTTGAACTCCCAAGAACACACTCTTGATTACAACTGGGAAGACTCCTTCCTTTGTTTGTTCCTTGTAAATCTTGGCCACAATTTTAGCTCTTTCCTGCACTTCCAGGTTTTTATGATTTGCTCTCCCTTGTTATGAAGGACTCCAAGGAAATGTTATCAACAGAGCATAATATATATCAAAGTTGGTTGTTGCAAAAACTACTTTGTGCTAATACTCATTTATTTTCACCCTTTGAGTAGCACTAACCCTCAGTCTTCCGGCAATCTTGAAATCATTACTCATCGCAGAGCTCTTTAGGTTTGCAATATCCTGAACCTTGCAGGCCCAGCTGAGATACAGGCAGTGTGATAGATTGTGTACATTTAACTTCCCTTTGAACTAAACTTCAGAAAGTTGGAGGGCTTTTGTGGCCCAGCTCTTCAGTTCACATAAACAGAGGCAGCTTTATTGGCTTCAGTAGACCTATGCAGATTCGCACAAGCTAAGGATTTGGCCCTGGAAGGACAGAGAAGAAGCCAATAGTCCATCTCAACTCTAACGAACCAAAACATGAGCCAAGTCACCGGCTTCCTCAAGACGCACTGGGGGAAAATTGCTCAGAGAATTAAATCCAATGTCATCTGTTGTCCTAAGGATGTAATGAGAGATCCTTGGCTTAGCTAATGGCCGTGAGTCCAGGGACTGCTAAGGAGCTTATTTCAGCTGTGTACATTATGCACATGTACCTGTTGTTAAAAGGACAGTAATAACTAATTGCCAAATCACTCTGGATCCCAATCTGTCAGTATATGTCCAACCTATATCCATACAAAAGGACCTCTTGGAGGCCCCTATATTTCAAGGGGGGAGAAGCTCTCAGCTGATGCAGAGTTAATACTTCCTAGCACTCTACACTGTAAACCCACAACCCTCCAAATTTACTGCTCCCATAACAGTGAGATTAGGATTATAACCCTTATTTTAGTTTCACAGCAGTCTGCCTTCCCCCAGCGCTCGCACTCTCTCCCACCCCTGCCCCACATCGTTAGATGACTGCAAAGGTGGGGAAGGCTCCATTAAGAGGGATAATGGGAAAGGCTTGGAGAAACCCAAGTGAGTGCTGCAATGGGTAACAACACAGAGAGATCTCAGCCATTAAACGCTAGTTTCAAACTTCCCCAGCTGGACAGGACTGAGATCCAGGCTCCCAGAGCGGTACTCAAACATCTGTAGTTTCCACAGATGAGGAAACTGAGGCACAAGAGAAGGGGAAGAGACCTAGACAGGCATGGCAGAAGCAGGAGCTCCTGAGCCCCAAACCTGTGCTCAAACTATTATATCCTGCTGCTTGCTAATGTCGCAAGTATTATGAGATGAATGGAGAGCAGCTGGACTGAACTGCCTGGGCTGCAGCCTGTGACCCTGGATCACCAAAGCACCCTCACGCCATGTGCTGGCAGCAGTATATACTGCACGGTGGGGGACTCTTTTTATTCATAAGTGTGATTCTCAGGCTTGTGCACTTCACCTGAGGTCACCTGCATTGCCAAAGGCACTGAAGAGAAACAATGCTATTAAACAAACCTGGCTCCAACTCGGGCTTTATTTTCCCTTTTGCAGAGCCAATTTCCATGTCACGTCCTTGGCTCTGGTGAGAATCATTATGTATCTTTAGAGCAAAGTTGAGAGTTTGCTTCAATCAATCCTTACTTTGCTGAGACGGTTTGGCATGGTCGTTTTCTGTCAGTGCAGCCATCGCGCGGGGCTGGCTCCTGTCTGTCGAGTGTGCTGCAACAATTACTTTTGAAGAATTCCCGTCACTTCCCTCTCTGCCCTCCTCTTCTCCTATCCAGAAGCTGAAACAGTAAAGGTGGAGAAGAGCTGGAAGTCATCCAGACCCATCTCCCCAAGACAAACCAGAATCCTCCAGTCCAGCTTTCAAGCAAAGAGCTCCCACTGCTTTCCTTATGAGACTCTCCACAACATGGGCGAAGGTTTCACTCTGAAGAATCATTTTTTGACAGTCAGCCTAATGTTTTTCACCCTTCTTGTCCAATGACACTAACAAACTTCCCCTTCCTCCTTCATATTCAAGCTCTCTATATTGCACAACATTCCCCACATCCATTCTTCTCAGTGGCTACGCAGTCTAGCCAGGCATATTTTTTCTTTCAAAATTAACCCCTCCAGCTACCATGTCATCTCCACTGTCCTGCTGCTTCCAGATTTGCTAGTACTTTCCTGGTCACACGATGCCCACAAATGAATGCAGCAAGACGTGCATGTGATGTGCTCCAGAGCTATAGAGACCTCCTTCTTCACGGCATGTCCATCTTAGAACCACGCTATCAATATACTCTGCCATGTCTCTTGCTAATGGACATCCCAAGGACACGCTGTTCCACAATCACATATCGCCAAGGGTCCAGCATACCTGGCCTTTGCTCTTAGGCCTTACTGCACATCCAAGACACCAGCCTGCAAGATAACAGGCCACTTCCTCGGAGCGGGTTATTGCTGTATTAGATCAGAAACTCAGGGAGGTGGCAGGAGGTTCATGATAAGCCAGCATTAATGGCCATTAGGGAGAAGGGTAATTAGTTAATGCTGGCGCAACACTTTGAAGATATAAAGCTATATAAGTGCTATGTACAGTTTTGATTATAAAGTTCCAAGCTTGACTTCTAGGAAGGAAGAAAGCAATCTTCCTGGGGGAATCTGTCTGGGGAAAGTAATCTCCTTGTCCCTGCTTTCTGAATGACATCCAGCTGATTAGGAAGGAATAGGACAACAACATGCTATCCCCAATGAGTTTGGTTGTATAGCAGCCAGCAGGTAATGGAGCAGGTTGCAGCATTTCTGATGATGGGCAGCTCCTCTGATGGAGTAGAAAGCACAGATAGGTCTGGGGCTTGATGGAGTTTGAATTTGACCTTGGCTGGAGTTTGATTTTAAGCTCCAGATGCACAAGCCCTCTAATGGATTCTGATTCATATCTGTGAACCGGGCCAGTCTTTAGTAGCACAGACAGAAGGGAAAGAAGGGAGGCTCATGTGACACCTTCCTTTTTTCTCCTGCATTCACTTGGGGAGCTCCGCTTTTGCTGCTGCCTCCAAAAATCTATGAGACTGAACCACTGAAAATGTCCATCTTGGCAAAGGCCAGCTAAATATCTTGAAAGGTTGGATATTTGTACCCA